TATTAGTCTCTGAAATCGATTAAGTAAAGACTTTGAAACCCCTAAATTTAATTCTCATATTTTTCGGAGACAGTCTGTAATATTAGAGATAATTGTTGGTAAGATCATTTTATTCTATATAGTCTTTTTAATTGCTAAACTGTTGTTCTCTTCACAAAAACCAATTTTCTGTCTCAAAATGAGGCTTACTATGAGTGAGCTGTATTTTTTTTGGGGAAAAGTTGCTGTCTTAGATACCTGAGTTCACCTCTTATTTTTAAATATTATTGGCTATAGAAATATGAAAATATGAAATATATTAGCTAAGCCTGTACAACAGCCCCAATTGAGAGAAAGACTTCGGCCTGTACAAGGCAAGCGCCCTCCACAGTCTAGTACATCAACTATTGAGGTAAAAATGTTGATATTTTGTCAAAGGTCATAATATCACGGAAAGAATGGCCGAACAAGGTATGTATATTGACTTTTCTAATTTATTTCGTTAAAACATGTATTTTCTATAATTTTAGGAAGATTTTCTTTTTTTTCTTAGTAGCTTTGCCTTTGATTTTTTTCTTGCTGGTAAAACAATTTCGAACGCATTATATTTAGACTACTTTTAGCGCGATCTGTCTAAAGGCATGATAGCATAAAGAATGTCATGTTCTGTACGTTGTTCAATGACGTTCGTTAATAGTTAATAGAAATTAACACGGTAATTGTATAATTACTCTATAGTATGAAATTATATTATAAATTAAAATGTATATTCAAAGTATTATTATTATTGATATTATTATGATTATTAATAATATTATATTTATTAGTAGTATTAGAATTTGTATTATTATTATTATCATAACAATAATAATAATAATAATAATAATAATAATAATAATAATAATTATTATTATTATTATTTACTGTATATGCTTTCTAATATTATTTAACCTTTTAATAGTATTAATTTATTATTAAGATAAAGAAAGTAAAGATATACACTGTGATATAAACACTGAAAAAAAAAGGAGAGACCAAGGTTAATATAGTAAATGTCTTTTAGGTATTTTTCTTTCACTGAATGACAGATCAAATATAAAGATTCTTTGCCCCAGTAATACCTGTTCTTTTTACTGTTCTTATTTCATATTATTATGGTGATCTTATACTACATGTACTGTTTAAATGAACATACTTTTATTAAATTCAAGCGCTAGTGTTTTGAACAAATGTTTAAATGCATCTATTGATATAAATTTATCTATTATTGTTGTTGTTGTTATTTTATCATTATATGATTACAAGCAGATTGTCTCTATGAAAGGAAACTCTAATGTCTTTTTAGTGGTAGTCACAGCGTGTGCACTCTCCGGTCTCCGGTTCAATTTCCATTGCTGTTCTCCTTGTGTTTCAGCTGGAGGCCTGATTCAGTAATGCACCGTCTTTCTGTTAAGTTGGTGAAGCCGTTGGTCCCATCAGCTATATAGACCATGTACACGTTAAAGTACGCAGTAGGCCTATACTCTTCCGAAATGAGGGGATTTTCTCCCTATGTGCCGCCTAATCACCAACAGAAGGACCCCACTGGACATATGTCTTCTTCGGCCTTTTGTAGGTTATCCTTGGCGTTTACACCAAATAAATCAAATCCATCTAATCCAAATAAATAAATAGATAAATAAATAAATAATAAATAAATAATAAATAAATAAATAAATAAATAAATAAATAAATAAATAAATAAATAAAGCGTGATCTGTTTAAAGGTATGATAGCATAAAGAATGTCATGTTCTGTACGTTGTTCAATGACGTTCGTTAATAGTTAATAGAAATTAACACGGTAATTGTATAATTACTCTATAGTATGAAATTATATTATAAATTAAAATGTATATTCAAAGTATTATTATTATAAATAAATAAATAAATAAATAAATGAATGAATGAATGAATGAATGAATGAATGAATGAATGAATGAATGAATGAATGAACAAATAAATAAATAATGATTCATTATACTTAATAACAATACAGGTAAGTATATAACCCTTTTTACAATAAATGAATAATATATATAACAAACTTATGCCATGATCAAATGAATGTCCTTTGATTTTTTTTGGAATTCATTAAAAATAATATATACTTTATATTTTCATATTTACAATAGTAATTATATCATTAATTGAAATATTGTATTTGAATTGTTTATTCTAATAATACCGTATTTATATTGGTATATATCATTAATTTTAATAATATAACCTTATATTAACATAATGATAACCAATATTATTATAATTGTATTACTTTGTCTTTCATACAATGGAAGTATAATATACATCTAATCATCAATTGCAAAATTGGCATGAGTGTTCATAGAACACACGATACACCATCAAATATATCAATAAATATATATCAATATATCAATATTATATCATTAAACAAGAATGATTGCTAAATAGTCATGATTAGGTGTTAATGGGTATTATTTAAAATAGAGCTAATATCAGTAGATGCCTATCTTTAAAGTGTTTTAACACATAATAAGTATTTGTTCTTTTCAGTTCGCTTAATATTATTTAAATTTGGCTTGTAACAAAAATAAGGATAAAAAAATATAATAACATAAACCTGCCTTTAATTTTCATCAAGTAAATTATAGGGCCTAAACATAAATATAACATACTAATAGCTCAGATAAACGCACTGTTACTATTCCTATTGTTTTCGATAATGAATATGTAATGCAAAAAATATGAGTATAATATACAGTAGAAATTCTTATAGGCCTAATCGTCCACTCTCGGGTCCAGTAAGAAATGGTCACTCAAGAGAGTTGGCTGTGTAAGAGTATACACGCGAGGCTCAATGTTAATCTGATATCGGGTGTTAAGTACACATCAATACAACATCGTATGTAATCATTAATATTTCAATAAGTTTTCGTGATCTGACCTTCAAAATTCCAAATCCGTTGTGCGTTTTTACGGAGATTACTATTTTTGGAGACTCAATAACACCAACAATTTAGTTACAGGTAAACATTTGCTGGTCTTTGATATACGTATCAAAATAAACCATGCACATTGCTCTGTTGTTTAAAGATAAAAACAATTGAATTAAATGTCTAGTACTGGCTAAAACAAATACATATATATCATTGTACGCTATGATTAATATGTTAGTTTGTAATCTAAAGCATTGCATTTGTAATCACCTCCATGAAAAAAACCCAGTGTTTATTGAAATAGAGTATTCTTTTTTAACAAACATGTGGTTCCTGTGGATGGTCGCTTACCGGAGGTACCGCACAATAGATATAATTTTCAAGCCAAAGTGATCGGTGTTGCTTACGAGAGATGCGCTTTACATTACAGTATTACTACTGGTACTCTACATATTATTATTATTGATTATTTTCCGAGTTAAAGAAAAAGTTCACTTAATAATATTTCATTATTTTTTAGCATTTTTAGAAAATGGACCATTTGTAAGAACAGGTTCTGCATGAAAAACTCATCCATTTTATATGTTACACAATTATTATTATTATTATTATTATTATTATTATTATTATTATTATTATTATTATTATTATTATTATTATTATTTATTATTATTATATTATTATTATTATTATTATTATTATTATTATTATTATTATTATTATTATTATCATTATTACTATTTTGTTTCTGGTAAAATTATGTATTCCATTGAGATTATTTTCACTGCATTTGATGGTAAAATATATGTTAAGTTAAAATTTATACAAGTGACATTCCTGTTCTGCAATACTGCTGTATGTTGCCGATTTATCTGATATCTACACTTCGCCTCCACGCCGCCTTAATTATCAAATGTATAGTTTACTGCAATCAATTACACATGCTCGAAAGTACTGTAGGCCCTTTCTAATACAAACCTATGAATAAAATAATATAATAACTATAATGGCGAATAGCGAATGAAATACTTTATCATTTTATAATTTGGGTATTATCAATAATAATAATAATAATAATAAGTTTTCAGTTTTTATCATTTTTCTTAAACATACCCAAATATACTTGTACCTGTAAATAATACATAGACCTACTTATACAGGGTATATGCGTGTGTGTGTGGGGAGGTGTGTGTGTGTGTGTGTGTGTTTACTGTACTAAAATTTTCACCATTAACATAATACTTTTTTATCAATATTATTTCATTATTGTAAATTTTATTACGTGAACTAACAATCAAGTATACATCAACGAGTGAATAATCTAAGTGTAACATTCACTATAGTCTAATGAGAACTGCATTATCGAGCCGCTACATTTTTAATATTTTGTAACTGCCGTCAATCCCATTAAAGTCCGGGAAATAAATACGCCCATAAATCATTAACGGCACTGCGCATTACACCGAATATATCCCGTGCAAGGCCAGCACTATGAATCCGTACGTAAAAAATGTATGAATATCCGAGAAACGCCAGAAATATCAACAAAGTTAACCAGCGCCGGCGGCACGTTGAAAGATAAGTTGAGTAAATTTAAGTTATGTCTCCGGCGTTTGGAATAATTATAGTGCCCCCACATTAAGATAAATTATCTTCGTGCGATGAAATAATATTCATTTTTATTTTTTCATAAGTAAACTTTAAAAAAAAATAGAGAGAGAACAAAAAATAACTGAGCCATTCTTTTAATATTTAATGAATGACTGGAGACCTTGCACGTAGTCTTCAAGTGACACTGATTGACCTGCGCAGGAAGTCGAATGGGATTTTGGGATTTATTAAGTAGGGCTTGATTGTAACCTTCTCGGTGCATCGTATTGCTGTGTGGTAATTTAGAGGCTTTATATGCCGTTCATTTTAAGCAATTAGGCAGTGGTCCGCGTACTTGACAAAGTAGAGAAACCGTTTTGATATCGTGTCATGGACTTATAAAAATCAATCAGCATACGCTGAGCTACTAAACAAAATACAACATTTACCTGATAACTATTTTCAATTGATGTTAAACATACAGTATACTTTTTTTATATAAGAATCTGTAAATTTTTTCCCAGGCTCACTGTTCTTACTTTCTTGCAAATTTCAGCTTCAAAATGTTCTTATTTTTATCTATATGCTACACACTGTTCAAAAATATAAAACTATTATTGTCAGCACTATTGCTATACTGTATAGGCTAAGCTTCTTAAACATTGTTACTTTACTCTATGTGACTAGCTTGATTTGTTGGTTTTTCTAGTGTTTTTTGTTTTGTTTTGTTTTTTTACCTGTCTCTTATTCACATCTAGATGTGTATAAGAGACAGTATATATATATATATATATATATATATGCTTTAGCACAAATAAGACGACTAGTTACCGCTTCGACCATCCACATTTTTACCCGATTCTACCTAAATAATCTGAATATTATCAGTTTAGGTGACAAATAATAGTCACGATAGGATCATTTA